TCTGGGAAGCGGCGAACACGGCTGACCCTGTCTGCCAAAAGGTAGCGGATGCACTCCGCCGCCTACGGTACCCTTTGACCGTAACGAGGCCGTTTTGTCGAGCGAGGATCCACTCCTAAAAGAGCGCTGGTGCGCAGGAGCCCGGCGAACGAGGTCGCTGGCTACCTGGTAGTTGCATGACACACAGACACACACACAAACAGACACACACGCATTACAACCTCAAGCTAGCTAGGCCCCCAGAGGCTTACGAGCCCTGGCCTTCTTACCGTACGGATCGGCTTACAACAATCCAGAGCTTACCACTTGCGCCTATTCCTCTTGTTCGCTCGCCCCATTGCGTCGTCTCCCTTTTTGCCCACCGTGATTGCTGCTCTGAAGCTACCGCCTGGCCTGCTGCTGCCGGCTGCCATTCAGGACTGGGTGTCTTAGTTCCACTCCCACTCCCACACCATACCTACCTACCTACCTACCTATCTACCTACCTACCTATCTACCTACCTACCTACCTACACATCACCTCTGCTGCCTGCAATCCACGCCCTCGCAAAAAAGAAACACCACCATTGGCCCGAGCTCTTCCCCGGATTTCGGTGGTCCGCTCACTGCTGCCCCCTCCCCTCCCCCGCCGCCGGGCGAATCAAACGCCCACCCGCCGCCTGTGGTTCTCTGCCGGGACCGAAATCAACGCTGTGTCTGCAAAGCAATCTAGTCTCTGCGCCGGCCAGCTAACTCGCCGGCGTTCCCATAGCTGCCAGCTAGCATAGCCCATCGCAGCCCTCTTCACCGCGGCTGGGAATCTCCTGCTACATGCCTGACCGTTTCAACTGCTTTGCCATATCCATCATTACAGTCTACTGCTGCCCTGCCCTCGTCCACTCTGGCCATACCTCCCCATACCCCCCATTACCGGGCCTATCCGCCAACAAACACATACGCACGCCAACATATGGGCGGACTTCGTTAGTCCAACTTTGAGACTCTTGGTGCTCTCTAGTCCTCCAGCCTAGGCCCTCTTCTTGTTCCCCAGAGGCCTTCTGCCATCCAAAAGAGCCTCACCCAATTCTTCGCCTTGCGCGACGACACAGTGCAGCGACAGACAGTGGGCCAGCCTCTTTGCCCCTCACCTTGGAACCGACTATTCTTACTTGCTCTTCTCGGCCGCCACCTTTTTCGTGCAGACAGGACGACGTCGGCGCTCTCTTGCTGGTATTCCAAGTTGAGCTGCTTGTGCTCTCTCCAGTCACCAGCACCCATACTTTTCTTGTTTCTGTCTTTAAACAGCGTGACTGAACACGAGCGATGACAG